CAGCCTAAAATAGCATTTGCCTTTTTTTTACAGCCACATTGCACTGTTGGCTCATATTCAGCTTGTGATCTACAACAATTCCAAGGCCCTTCTTGCTCATAGTATTATTGAGCCAAGTACCCCCATCCTGTAACTGCATTTGGTTTTTCTCCCAGTATAGAATTTTGCACTTATCCTAATTAAACATCATTCTTTTGTTTTCAACCCAATGCTCAAGTCTATCGATATATTTTTGAATTTTGTTCCTGTCTTCCAAGGTATCAGCTATTCCACTCAATTTTAGGTCATCTGTAAATTTGGTAAGTAGTCCCTGAACGCCCTAATCCAAATACTGTAATTAATTAAAATGTTGAAAAGCATTGGGACCAGAACTGAACATTGTGATATCCCATTTGTTCCTTCCGCCCAGACTGAGAAGGAGGCATTAATAAGCATTCTCTGAGTACAATGCTGTAACCAACTGTGTAACCACCTGACACTTGTGATATTCAGCCCATACTAGTTAGCTTGATAATCAGAATATCATGGAACACTTTGTCAATTTGATTTAAATTAAATCCACCCTGCAGAACTCCCCCCCCCTCTCTTGCACAGTCTTTGGTTCCCTCTACTAATTCTGGTAATTACATTGTGGTCTTTGGTTCTCTCTACTAATTCTGGTAATTACATTGTGGAAATATATATTTCTGGGTTATTTCATTTAATATATTCAGATTATGGACAAGCGAAATCATGCATACTGATTCAGCAGATACAGGAGTCTTACTGTACTTGCAGATTGATTGCTTTATAATCTGCTCCAGAATCTCCCCGGGGACTGATATCAAGCTGGTTGGCCCGTAGTTTCCCAGTTCCTTGTTTTTTGCCCTTTTTGAAGCGAGGGACAATGTTATTCCCTCTTCCAATCATACATGGCTTCCAATTTCCCACTCCAATTATGACAAAGTTACCCTTCCCACTGTAGTTAAAAGGAAAAGTTACACACATTCTAAAACAAACAAATAAAAAACCCTACATAAAAACTTATGTACTACTAATAAGCTTCAGCCTCTCCTGCTTCAGGAACATATTCTGAACGATGTAAATCCCACAGAAGGTTACCCAAAAGTTACTGCCACTATACCCAACAGTGCAAAGGACTATGTATTGAGTGTTCTCCATTCAAACAATAGTAGTCAAGTAGTCTTTCACAGAGGGAAGAAAGCTGAAAATGCAGCAAAGTGCTAGAGGCAAAAGAAATGTGTATTTATCCCATACCAAAACAATTCAGAGAAAATCTAGACCCCATTTATGCTCTGTAATGTTGAAAAGAGACTGAATTCTCAAAGTTCTGATGTTTCTTTTTCACTGCAGTACTATATAGACTGCCTGAATTATTCCTGCCTATCACAATTATTTTAACTCCAGCTATTTTGTGATCAGTGTCAAGCGCTAATCCAAGAGCAAAGTAATTTCTAGTGTGTTCCAATTGCCACTCATGTCTTTACATTAACAATGACAGGGATTAGATTTGCAGAATTAAGGAAATCTCAGTCCCATAATTTGACAGGAACCAAATGGGGCACTTTTTCCAATGGATCAAGGAAGTGGCATAGGAACAGCATCAAGGTGAGGAGGCTGCTGTACTTCCTGCTGGTTGGAGGCCTCCCAGCTCCATAATTCAGCCTGGGGGAGGGTGTTCCTGCTGCAATATGGGACTGGGAGTTCCAAAAATCTCATCCCTTAAAAAAAAAAGAAGAAGAATTAAAGATACACTACACATTTATAAATTCTGTGATAAATACCATTCAAAATATTTTTCTGAAGTTTCCCATTTTTAAACAGTGTTACAGGATTCAAACAGAAGGGTGGTTCAATTGCTAACATTTGGAAAGATGTCCAAAAGTTGTAAGCCGCCCCGAGTAGACATGGTCTAGAGGGGTGGGGTATAAATTTAATAAA